TACGTTTTTTTCGCAGAAGTGAGACCTCTGTATGTAAATACTCTGTGACACACCGGCGTGTCGGAAGTATGAATTATATATTATATACAAATCCAATTCCATCGTGCTTTTCGCGCTTAGAGGCCGAGGTTTTGCGGTTTTGACCGTTATGAAAGGACAACCTTAATTGAATTAGCTGATACTAGTTTACTCACAGGGTAGTGAATGCTGCCTTGGTATAGCACCTTTAATATTTTAAAGAATAAGAGTAAGAAATATTTGTAATCACCATTCCCCAATTAACCAAAATTTTGATCTCAACAAGTCTAGACAAAATTCCATCATAGCATGAAAGAGCATCGCCAAATTAGTAATATTCCAAAGTTTCGTTGCGAAATGTTGTAAAATGCGGATAATATAGCCTTGCGAAATTTGCAATTTTCAGTCATTTTAGATTACAAACGGGAAATGGTTACCACTTTTCCAAAATTTTGATTTTAACTAGCCTAAGCAAAAATTTTATCACAACTTGAAAGAGCATCACAAAATTAGTGATATTCCAAAGTTTCGTTGAAAAATGCGGATAATATAGCCTTGCGAAGAAGTTTGTAATTTTCAGTCATTTTGTAATTTGTATTACGCACAGAAGTGGTAACCATCTCCCGTTTGTAATCTAAAATGACTGAAAATTGCAAAGTCTAGATTTGTTGAGTTCAAAATTTTGGTTAATCGGGGAATGGTCCGTTGGAATCATCCATAATTTATACACTTGAATGTGCCGTATGATAACTCGGCGCTCGAAGTTTCGTATCGAAAGAGGAACAGCCGAACAGGTACGATGGCTAACAAGAATGAGTGTACTTATCAACTTATCTAACGCGAGGAAAAGATCAAAATGGCAGGTATGGCTGTGATATCTAGTATATAAAATTGTATAGACAATTTGCCTACAAATACGGTGCTAGGTCAAAACGGCCCCGCTTAAATAATCATATGATTTAGACCAGGGGTTAAAGGGCAATGACAATGACATGCAGGTGACATTTAACATGTGCGAGTGTGCGTCTCACTAAATTTGCGTGTTTAATAAATAATAATGTTTATCAAAGAAGGCAAAAATATATACAAAACAACCTCACATGTGGAATCTGTTCACTTACGCACTGCGTTGTGATGCAGTACAAGTACAAGTACAAATACAAATGACAAAGCATTTTTAAAGGCTTTAAATCCTAAAACATAATTAAATCATACGGTACATTCAAGATTTTAATATCGTATTTCAGCCGTGTTTATACTGCTTGGCGCGCATTCGCTGCGTTATATTAATTTATATACCTATGTTATATACACATATTTATTACTAATAAATCAACACTATACTGATGATAATATATAAGAACTCACAAAGTGCAGTCACCTTTTTATAAATAAACCTTTTTAAAAGCATGTCATTGTCATTGCAGACCAGAGGCAAAAAGCACAGCCACATAGGCCTACGGCCTACCAGATTTATTAAGCAATCGTGATATTATATACATGGAAAGAATATGGAAATTATGTTAAAAGCACCCCGTATAATGACGAAAGTACCGCGTATAGTGCTCGAACCACTGCGTATAATGGCGAACGCACCGCGTATAATGGCGAAAGCACCACGTATAATGCTCGAACCACTGCGTATAATAGCGAAACCACCGCGTATAACGTTCGAACCACTGCGTATCGACAAATTGCCATTTGATCACTTACGCCAGCTATGGCTTTCCATAAAATAAAACCAAAGATGAAAGATGATCACACTGCTTGTTTGCCTTATGCCTGTTTATTAGGCAAGAATAGCCTGTTGGCCCGGAAGCAGTGCATTGTGGTAAGCCGAAATACGCCAAAACGATCGAGATTTCATATATATACATATACATAAAGATTAGTCTGCTGCCTCGCTTTACGCTCGCTCGCTACGGCAGCAAATATTTGGTTTCATGGTCATGCTGATCAGAATGCATTGTTTCGTATCTGAATATCATTCAACTGAAGAGTGAGAATCCATCTCTCAAAAGTTCAAATAAACATTGATTAATAATGGGCAATTTGCATACCAACCCAGTCAGGGTTAGCCTAACCCTAACCCTTCCCTCGTTTACGTGGTATGGGGCTGCCCGCAGGCTAGTCAGGGTCTACTGTACAGATCCAATTATACAAGTGCTGAAAGGTTTGTGAGTTTCGGCAACCTGGTGGGATAACGCCACCTGAATTTACATTTTACAACAAATCCCCCATTTCAACATAAATTTGGCTGCTTGTGTTTGCCTTTTTTGGGTTAAAATTTCAAACAGATTGTCTTTTCTTCCGTAGCTTGTTTCGAGTTAACGTTAATCCAGCCTCCAGATGTCATCGATTCGAGAGATAATTCATGGTCGACTGTTGACAATAATACAATATTCCATAGTTCTATTTTAAACATGTATTAGTTTACATTTAAAAATGTTCGATTGGGCTCAATAGACCTTTCTTATATTGACGTTAAACGCGGAACCGAAAGGGTATAAGAATGGGGAGCCTTTTCTTTTTTTCATGGGTGCCAAAACGCGACATTCCATAGCGCACGTGTCTTAAATCCGTCATGAGTCTGAGCTAGTAGAAAATCCACCCTTAGTCCCCTTACAGAATCGATAGGCACACAGACGAATCTGTATTAATACTAGGTTTAATACAGTTACACAACAATGAAAAAATATGTTTGGGGTTGTGCGTCGACTCAACAGAGGTATTAAAGCGGTTTAACAAAGGTCACTTCAACAGCATTTACATTATGAAATTTTCGGGACTTTACCAAATGATCGCTTAAAAGAAAGGGTGACCGCTTAATACAAGTTCAACTGTATATATGAAAGCATGCATAACAAATATTACCTGTGGAAATATGCCAATTAGACAAACAGACAAACAGTCTTCTTCGGACAAAAACGCCAACTGATCTTCTTAGAGATTTGTAAGGCTATATATCACAGCATGCATTCATGTACCAGCCAATGATTTCACGCAACTGAGGTAATTAAGTTCATGTATATGAGGAAGTTTTTTTGTGCATAATATGCGTCATGCAGATAAATAATAAATTGTTGCGCAAATGTAACCCGTCAATGATGGGTGCACCATTCTTGCAGCCACCAAAATCACAGGTAACCATTATTTATGAATATAGAATTCAATACTATCATTACTACAAATAGTGGTGTCTTAAACAAAATGAGAATGTTATTAAAGATGTTAAAATAATACAATTAATCTGGGAATAAAAGAGACTTGTACGTTTGGGCCCATGTGGGCGTATGAGGAAGTCTCTTTCATAATATGCTATATGCTTCATGTATTGACCTTGCTCAGTGAACGAAAAGATTCCCACAGTATGATAAGAATGAGAATTCAAAATTAGTTATTTATATAAGAGATTCAGGTTTGGCCAAGGGGGTAGTGGTATACCAAGTACAGTCGAACAGGGATTAACGGACACCTCTCCTAAAGCGAGGACAAACCTCTTAATTAAGCGGACATATACCTCCGATTACAATGATTTCTTGAATAAAATATCATTACTCCTGTTCAGCGCGGGCACCACTATTAAGTATAGGTTATTTTGAGGCAACGAGGAGATATGTGATTTATTTGACCGAGGCGCGCAGCGCCGAGGTGAATAACACATCAGTCCCCGAGGTGTTTCAAAATAACGTTCTTATTTTTCACATTGCGAGGTCGCGTTAATGAGTCAGAATAGAAACAATTCTTAATGCCATATTGCCTTCGTTATGATGTTCTTTTCTCATTTTTTGTGCTGCAAAGACATTGCAGGTGAATATTAGAGGAGATTATTAAACGGAAATTGATTAGAGGGGAATAAGAACAAAGGAAACCGAGCAGGGTGAAAAATAAGCGGAAGCGGTCACCTAACTTAAAGTTCCAGTGAGCGGAATAACCTCTCTCAAAGCGGACAAACGTAACTTATGAATGTGACTATGCTAATTTTCATAACAATCAATGGTAAAATTAATTTGAAGAAAATTCACTAGATCGACATATATTTGTTATAAATGTTTGGCAGCATTTCTATGTAAACGCCAATAACTTGAAGTAAACTTTGTCTTTCATGCAATTGCAAGAAAATCTGTCTCCTCGAAACTTGAACTCACAGGGAAGTTCCACACCATGACCAACCCTTCTGTTGACACGTTTATAAATTTAATATGTGTTGCTATGGTGACGATGTGGCCTAAGCGACAGCAGATAAAGATCACATTTTGGACTAAAAATAAATTTATTAAAATTTCCTTCGGTCAAAATTTCTGAAATTGTGTAGGTGTAACGGGAGTATCTATTGGAAGATTATGTAATAAACCATGCATTAGATCTAGATATCATATACCCAAAACCCCCTGGCCGAACCCAGGAGATTGATTGAGACTGAAATTGTGATCCCCCACCACCCTAAAAAATCTGCTTGACCATACATTTTCTGCTCCGAATAGCAATTAGCGGAACTTCTACTGTTAGCGAGTGATTTGTGAGCTCACGAGAAAATACTCAGAATGCTTTAGTTAAACATCATGTTGATAAACAAAAATTAATCTTGAAACGTCCTGAACAGAACGAAAATGCTGATTCGCGATCATCGTGGTACCGATTATGTCTCAATTGAAAACCAAATGCGCTCTGTTCGCAGGCCACGGGTTCGATCTCTCTTGACAGTCTTGTTCAGTATTACAGTAAAAAATGAAATATTTCTCGAAAGGTGAAACGGTAGCTATATATAGTAACTCCATGCTGGCTATAGGTGGTTTTTGCAAAGCACCATCCTCGGTCCCAGAGGCCCTGGGACCGAGGATGGCAAAGCACTCAATATAGCTTGTAAAAATATACAGCCAATGGATGGCCGTGAAAATATAAGATATACAAACGCAAGGATTTAAACAGTCATGTTTTGAAACAATTTTAATATAAAAAATAAGTGATTTTAACTGAGAAAATCGAGGAAGAAGCAGTTTATGCAAATCAGCTATTTTTAATATGTGGATACCATTGATTTCTTTTGAATTTTCTTGATGGATAATAATAATATAATAATGACTCAATGAATTACATCGTATCCATAGAGTCAGAGTGGCTCTTCATTTCTTCACTACCGATTGTACAATATTATTAATCAATTAATTAAAATAAAAGCTCGAACTATATATGTTAACGGACGCGAATATTGTAAATGGTTGTGTAACGTCTTGACTCTTCATGAGAACATTCGTATTCTTCCACAACGTACTGAATTAATGAATGATATCTGGTGAGAAATAAATTTTAAAGTTTATGTAAATCAGGATGATTTTGTATCAGATATACAAACTCCTACACGGTCAAGATTTCTTTTGTGTTTTCTTGTACAATTTATTAATTCGTAAATTGTGAACTTTGTCAAGTTCTTGAACCTCGTATGTCTCCATGTCTTCGCCGATGTTCCTTACTGCTGCCCATTTCTTAAATACTCCAACCTATAAATTTGTTCATTTTCTAATGTTCCAGTTTTCACTATAGAAGTTTCTAATTCTTCAATAACATCATTATCTGCAACGACAAAGCGAGAAGCCATTGTTTTTATTGCTATTTAAAACAAGAAACTTTCCGCGCTTCCGTCACTCAGCCAATCAGGTACACGTAATTTTGACCAATACCCTCATCATTAGCCAATCATATTTGCCCGCCTCTATATGATTACCGTAAACCTCCGACTATAAGCCCTGGGCTTATATACTTTCGTAAGCGATTTTTGATGGGCTTATACAAGGGGGGGGGCTTATATACGGGGGGGGGGGGCTAATACATGGACGATCTTTTGTGTTAGTAAAAAACAAGTCAGACATAAACAAGTTAGTCATAAACAGGAAAATAAACATGTATTATTAAATAATTAACGCGCTTTGATTCACATAGTCGGCTATAAAGACAATGACAATGTTTTTAAATATCGTTTTCTGCTATATTAAAAGACAATGTCAATGTTGAATAACGTAGTGGGCTACTGCAGGGCATGGCCCAACACCTAACCTGCGAACGGGCATACTCTGGGTACAAGATTGTGGTTTTGGTGTGTCAAGCAACGGTTAATAGTCATATAAAACTACTTCTATGCGACTAAATAACAGTTAGTAGATGCTTAATAGAAACGTTGTCAGTCACATTTTACTTGAAATGGTGACCGAAGTATAATTTTGGTCTTTTCGGGTTCAGATCCCTGCTTGTGACGTAACATTTATTATCCACAATAATCCAAGATGGCCGACCGCTCATTCATTGCTATTTATGATGATTTTGGTCCAAGTATTTTGAGAACTAAGCAATTGAAGAAGCTGTAAAAAGTTTTCCATATAATATTAAATGTTCTTGCAAATGGGACAAGCTAAATTTTTATTACCACACCTTTTTAACCTAAAAAATAGGTAAATTCATTTCATTTCGGTTTTTATTTTAACATTAGATTTTGCAGAATTACTGGAACGTCGCATTACACACGCACAGTCCCGACTTCATTCTTTTGAAAACAAACAACATAACACAAGACTAAATTAAATTTAGAAGAAATCAAAGTGATGAAGTCAAGGCTAGCTCAGTGAACTCAAATAAATTGAGTTCACTGCGCTAGCTATGCGCGCTACGCTTCACTAATTATTTTAATAGTTATATGAGAAATTTGCATGGTAATTACTGTATGTACAAATGTCTCACTGAGCACCTTTGTTGTATAAAGTTGTGCGAATGATTCTGATTGAATTTACAAGTCAACATATTTTCATTGGTCATTTGGTCTTTATACAGCTGTTAGAATTATAGTGGTCCATGGTATTGCTGAGGTGTTTGGGAAAAGTATTACCACTGATGTGAACAGTGTGGCTAACTTTCATCTTTACAGTGAATGAGAAAATGAAACATTATGTCTAATAACGACGAACGTCTGGTGTTATCTTGTCTGTTGCCACGTCTTAAGGTAAGATCAGGGTACGATAATTCAAGATTTTTAGTCCGCGTACCTGACTGGTACTCCAATGATCATTGCCAAGTAATTGCGCTGGTACAAACTCAATACTCAACGTGTGCTTGGTCTTTAAAATAAAGTACATAAAGTACAGGTTTCTGAAAGGTATTCAATCTACGTGTTAGAACAACTAGCACAATTGTATGTATACAAATACTACAATTGACTCCAACATTCCTCAGTCCCATTAGTGCAATCATATGTTTCATGCCAAGACATATCAGACTTGCACATATACCAACTAAATTATGTGAATTATGGCCATTGAATACCTTGGACTTGGAAAGGTCATATGTCGCATATGGTACCAGCAAGAAGTAAGTACACAGATAGCAACAGTTCCGTGTACCTACGTAAAACGTGATAATGGCGTACCTCTGGTACGTATAAGTACTCGAATTATCACACACCGAAGTTGTTCATTTTCCTATTTAAAAGGTAAAGTGGATTATTTAGGACAAAATCAAAGGACGTTAAAAATTAACAGTTGTTTACCGTAGCCATTGCAGTCGCCCTAGTGGATTTAATCGTTACTTAAGCTCCGATCAAATGAGGATAACATTTCAGACGAGAGTTGAAAATCACGACTAGCTTTTCGTAGGGGACATTTCAAGCTCCAACCCAACTACGTAATTTAACTTAAATATAATGTATGATAGTGTTGGGAAAGCATTAAGAACAGCTAACGAAGGTCGCATAATCTGCCAACTCCGTTTTCAACGAACTATTTTATGACGTTTAATCAAGTCATACATGCCTCTGATTTCTGTTTAATAAAATAAATCTGAAATCTGAATCTAAAAAATATATATGCAGCAAAAATTAGTCTGACTCGTACCTAGTCCCTGAAAATGAGGACTGAAAAAATAATGGTGCATGATGGGAATGATCAAGGCACTTATCTGTGCATGTAGTATGTACCCATAATTGACGACTGGGTACGAGTCAGCCATATATATAGTTGTGAGATGTTTTGTGAGATATAGCAGTGACAACTGATTCCGTGGAGACTGGGGCGAGTTTCTTGAAAATACGGCCGTTTTGCCTTCTCGTACCCAGAGCCCTTCTTACGCGCGGTCAACCGAGCGCGACGAGGGGCTCTGGCCAAATCCATAACCGGATCGATACCATAAAAGCATGGTCATAGAATATATCCGGTGATATTAGAAAAATAACCTTTATTGTGGCCAATCAGATGCCAGTTTCATATTTAGTAATTTATTAAAAACCAGAACATGTTTGAAAAAAAAATGGCATGAATCGCATGATCCAATGCCAAAACCGTGCAACATATCACTGGAAATAGAGTTAATAGTAATGGGACAATGCTCATTAAAATGAAGTACAACTGGAACGCTACCTTCAGACAAACTGCCTGCGTGTTCTCGGGGTCAAGACCAAGACACACGTATTTATACTACTGATTGACTATTGACTGATTGAACGCTCTTCGCAAGCGTGAAAAGACTGGGACTGGCCTTCAAGATTGGCTTCATTCTCGTACCCAGAGCCCTTCTTACGCGCGGTCAACGGAGCGCGACGAGGGGTACGAGAATGGGCAAATGCTTTAAGACCTTTAACAGAATAATTTATGATGCTTGTAATGTTACTCTGAGTGGGTATCCACACCGGGCAAGCTTGAAAAATATGTCTGGCCACGGTGGGAATCGAACCTATGACCTTTGGAATACTAACCCAATGCTCTGCCAACTGAGCTACGACCTGACCGCGTAGGTTCGATTCCCACCGTGGCCAAGCATATTTTTCAAGCTTGCCCGGTGTGGATACTGGATACACACTCAAGCCCCGTTTACACTACGCTCAATGTTTGGTACGGCACGGATAAAATTGGTACCCGTACCACTTTTTTGGTTCTTGGACTACCTATTTAGCTAAGCCCCGTTTACACTACGCTCAATTTTTGGTACCATACCACTTTTTGGTTCTTGGACTACCCAAATAGGTTGTTCAACTGTCCAAGAACCAAAAAAGTGGTACGGGTACCAATTTTATCCGTGCCGTATCAAAAATTGAGCGTAATGTAAACGAGGCTTCAGAGTAACATCACAAGTATCATATTCACTGAGTATATTACCACCAACAGTCCAACACAGAAAAATATCAGTATTATACAGCTCAGTGGTAATAATTAACAATAATTTATGTTTCCACGTCAGGTAGTAAATTTCATAAATATTGAGATATTCGACTACTCAGTTAATCGGTTAATGCACTATTGTACTGGCATGATAACCAAGGTTCCTATTAATTAACAAAACTACAAATAAATCGCAGCAAAATTAGTTTGTAATTACATTTACTGTCAATTAAGTGCAAAAAGCTTGTAAAAAGTTCATGCTCTTACCGTACTTTGAGATCCCAACTTCCCAATTTTCCTCCCGTCCCATGAGCCTTTACGGTGTCTAAAACCACGTGAACGATCGTCCTACCAAATTTACCTGAAGGGGGAAAAAGACGTTATCAATATTTTTGAACAACAAATTTATATGGCTTAGAATTATTATTTATTGAAAAAGCATGGACCTTGATTTATCCGTAGCAGTGTTTCTGCGGAAGGTAAGACTGTTATAAGACTGTGATATTATTCAACGGTCGATGTCTACTATATAAACTCCCCTGTTTCCTCGAAGGCCCTTCGCCTTCCCTCGAAATATCAAAGTTAGTTTTTCTATTTTTCAGGTGGTTGTATTTCATGTAAAGCTCTGATGTTATTTTATTGTATTTAGAAGGCAAATAAGAAGATATTTTCATACGAATCACGCATTCTCCGATTCGAGTTAGCGTTATCCATATTTTATCGTTCGCCAGAAATGGACGCCATGATTCCCAAAATTAGTCTTTACGCCAAAAATTTTATGCTGCTTGGAATGTAAGGGCGCGAGTTACGGCGTTTTTGAAATTTAGGTTTTTGCAGCAGCAATTCCAGTCAGATGCATGGCATGGGACTGAAAATATTCCACTACAGCAACAAATTCAAGTCAAATATATGTTGACAAAAAACTGCAATTCCAAAACGTTGTACTCGCGACCTAAATGGTGTCCAACCAACACGAAACTCGGTAGTTGGTATAGACTAAATGTGAGCATAAAGATTTCAGTTCTATGGTCTATTTTGGTAGATTGCGAGATGGAGAATTGATGATGCTAACAACAATGATCGGAGAATTGCTTGTGCAACACATGTAATTCTTTGCCATCCTTTTGTCTCAAGGGTGCTGGTCCAAATGAGTAATGGTGCACAGTTTTTATTCAATTTTCCCCATATACTGAAAGATTTGTAAAAATGTATGTGGAGGAGCTTTGTTTTTCCTATTATAATACTTGTATTCGACACATTATAATGCCACTGAAGGACAACTTCACAGGAAATGCTTGTATATTGGACTTTGCAAGCTTTCTGTCTAGAATGGACAGTGAATAATAATTTTTAGCATGGCACAATGCAGAAAGTGGGGACATAAGTCCCGTAACTAACTATGAGTTAGAATCTTTTTGAAGAATTTAAAACAAGGAGGACTTCAAGTTCAAAGAAAGAAAACGGAACTGAATGGAATTTATGATGAAGTGCTCTACTTTCTGTTGCTTGAAATGTGTATAAATTTTTTGTCATCCTTTTGTCTCAAGGGTTGGTTGTCCAAATGAGTAACGGTGCACAGTTTTTATGCAATTTTCCCCTATACTAAAAATTTTGTAAAAATTTGTGTACAGGAGCTTGTTTGCCTATTATAATACTTGTATTCTAAATAGTTATCAGAGGCTAAAATAGTTATATTGTGCCATGGTGAAAATGAAAATTATTAACTGTCCAAAACTGTCTCATCATAATCTGTTCTTAATTTTAAATGGAACCCTGTTTATCAAACCTATCACAGATCACTAGTGATACGTCACGAGAAGTACCCGAAGACTATCATATTTTTCTTGGTTGTATTCTACAACATCCTGATAATGTTGTAGATTACAAAACCTCTCTGTTGATGTCGTAGACTATGAAAGCTCACACATAATTTTTAGGATTTTATTTTTATATGTCTTTATACTCTAAATTTTTTTAGTTAGATACTTTTTAATATTCCTCTATAATGGCCTCATTTGAACCCAAACACGACACATTATTACAATGCTACTGAAGGATAACTTCATACAAAACACTTGTATATTGGACTTGGCAAGCTTTCCATCTAGAATGGACAGTGATGATAATTTTTAGCATGGCACAATGCAGAAAGTGGGAACATAAATATTTCTGCCTTTCTGCAAGTTGAAACTAAGTTTAAAACAGCAGAGGCCCATAACTAGCTATGAGTAAGAATTTTTTTTAAAATTTAAAACAGGGAGAACTTCAAGTTCAAAGAATGTAAATGGATACTGAATGGAATTTATTTATTTCTGATGAAGTGCTCTACTTCCTGCTGCTTGAAACGTCAATATTTTGTGGGTAACCTAAGTATCTCAGTAACAGAATGTGGGTAAGTATCCCAAATATTACCAGAACCATTTATTGTGCACTTGATCATGTTGGACCACGAATATTGGTAATTTTTAGAATTGAAGTACAATTGTGATATAGACTATGGTATAAAATTATAGATTGATTTTTTGTTAAAACTACTCTCAGAATGCAGGAAATAGCATTTACAAGCAAAGTTTTCTCCTTAGAAAATAAAAAGTTTTTCTGGGGGAGGAGCATGCATTATAAATCCATTACTCAGAATAAAAACACCCTTGTCTCAACACAATTTTTCTTGCAATGCAATTTTGGATACAGACTCGTGTTACTCATTAAGTCTCATTGCGCCCCCATGCGCCCTGGAATTGGGAACGGGGTAAGTCTCATTGCGCCCTCATGCGCCCTGGATGACACGTCAACTTCCGGGCACGATTGTCTAGCGCATGTTTATCGGGTTGCTTAGCAACGGTCACGAGTATAAAGTGCAAAATTCGGGCTTTCAGAAGATACATCATGCGAGAAAATTGATCAAAAGGTTGCGAAGATTTTCGATTTTAAAACTCTATTTTTTTGCAAAACCTGTGACAACCGCAAAGTGTCACAAGATAGGACTTTGCAGCAAGTTTTAAGGATGAAAAAGAAGAGGTTTTTAAAGAGTTTTACATATAAAATATATTGTAAAACATAAGGGAGTGTGCATATGTTTCAAGTCAAGTTCTTGTCCAAATCAAGTCGCGCGATTTTCAGCCAGAAAAACAGCAATTTCTTTCAATCTAACGGAAAAGGGAAGTGGGAAATCGCAAGAAACATGAACACTAAATCCAAGTGAGTAGTTACGATTTTTTTGAGCGTGTTTTTGAATGAAAATACCTGGCATGTTTTCATGAAATACGATATAGCATTAAAGCAAGTTCAATCTAGTTTAAAACTAAGTTTTTAGAAGAACTTTTCGTGCATTTTATGGCATGATTTCGACTGTTTTCGTGACCCTACTGTTGGTCGTCTTGCTCAAGTTGTTATTTTAGCTGAAGTACTTTCAGAAGACAGTAGGTTCAACTTGTCATGTGCGTATATACATTTTGGCAAGAAAAATTTCGAGTAAAACCGCATTAAAACTAAGTAGAATACTCTACAATGAATACTATATCTGTTTCTATAAACTTTGTCTCGAAACGAGCTCTCATTTCAGAGATAATGTGGTTTAAAATCAGTGTATTGAATTATGCTGTTACTTGGCGCGTGCGAATTCTGAACCTTCATGATAGGGATTTGAAAAGCTTCTAAAATACACTTTATCGCTTCATATATCCCCATAAAATTTTTAAATCAATAAAGCACATCATAAAACTAATGTACGCTCATTTTCTAAGAAGTACTCGTCGATTACCTGAAGGAAAAGTTTAAAATAGGTCAGGAGAGCAGTTTACAAAATTCCGTTCTCCTCTGAAATGGCTTCTTTTGCGGGAAGCCATTAAATTTATGTACTTTCCAAAATTGTAATTTAGTCGCTTTTTTGGTCTCATTGTTCACTTATTTATCATGGAATTACTTCGCTTGAGCTCTTTTAATAATATCTGCAAGATACTTTGCTATTTGGTGAAATAAAAGCTATATTTTTAGCAGTTTATCTTTTGAAAACTGCATGCGCAACAAAGTGTCACCAATGTGTTTACTCTCGCCTGACAAACAACCAAAGATGAAATACTTTATTTCACTCTTTTATAGCAATCTAAAATGCCTAAATATTAGATTATTCATTTTATTTGAGCATACATATTATATTTTTATACAATTGGTCCTTGAAAAGGACTTATTTCAAGCTAGAGTCAGATTTCAAACTAGAGTCAGATTTCAAAAGAAACCGCCTGTCTGACATTTTACAGCAACCTACATTGGCGCGCACAACGTTTTAGCCACAAATCCGTTGTTTTCTCAACAGAAACAAAAGGAATTTCAGTTAAAATTCTTACCTGATGAATATTCAAAAGTGTTTATCTCTTTTTGACGACTTTCAGTGCTCTTAATAGCGAAATAAAAAGCCTTTTGTTTTGTCACCGCACGCTGCGTTTGAAAATGCCGGCTGTCAAAGTCAGAATTGAAAACACCTAAAATATTTTAAAATTTTCTCACCTTTTTCATCCTTTGTTTATATTTTAATTAGTACTTTTTGTACTT